TGTAACCAGCCTGGTTCTTCTCCTGACCCGGCTGTCCTGCTTTAGCTTTAGCTTAGCATAAAACACAGTAAGTAAATGGATCCAACTAGCATTGTGAGTAAAAAGTCCTTAAAATCACTCAGCAGTGATCCCAATTATGCTTGGTGACCTAAATAATCAGACTGACTGCAAGTGAAAAAAATTAGTAACATAAAGGAATCACAGGCACCATTTTAGACTTGGGACTACTTTATGACAAAGCACAGCCTCCACTGCTTTTGTAAACACATATGCAAACGTTAGAGAACCAGCACCCGTGCACGTGTGTTTGTATGCCAGTTCGCCAACACCGTGTGCATCAGTGTTTACAGAAGCAGGTGTCTTTGGGGTTAGGGCCAATTCTGGGGATTATATCCCTTTCATAATAACCAGAAATGTCCAGTGGGACTTGATGCAAGCAGGTTTTACTCCAACTCAAACCAGAATATTAAAGAAGTGGAAATGTGTGGGTTCAGGAACCTGGAGACAGATTATAGTTGCCGGTCAGGACGGCAAAGCTTAGCTGGAGAATCAGATGTAGACTAGGGCTGCACGATATTAGGAAACCCTGCGATATGCGATAACAGTGATTAATATGACAATGACGATATTACTTGCGATAAATAAAAACTAAAATCAGGAACAAAAATAATCAAAAACAACGACATAAAAAATGACAAAAATGAATCATAACAATGAGAAAAGCTAAATATGTGAGGCAAGGGGAAAAGAAAATGAACAAGAAAAGGCAATCAGTGGATCCCGGGAAAAGCAGAATCAGCAGAAAGAGCAGAACAAAGCTAACTCAGGTGTTTGCTAACCATCAAAATTAAGTGCCATCCGCCTCGGGGGCGGGCATCTAACCTATGAGAACCCACCCAATTGGCCAAATGGGTGAAGAGCTCTATTTGATTTGTTAAAAAACATCATGCTTCTGTTTCACTGACAGAATGCATTATAGGTAACAAACATTTGAGCTGACCATTCATTGCGATATTTACCTGTTCTTTGTAATATGCGTAGTGCCCATGCTGATATCGCGATAGCGATATATTTATGTTTATTATGTTTATTCATTTAGCAGACGCTTTTATCCAAAGCGACTTACAATTTATAACCTGTAGGGCATGTTGTGATCTGTGGGGGAAACCGGAGTACCCGGAGGAAACCCACGCATGCATGGGGAGAACACGCAACTCCACGCAGAAAGGCCGCAGCCGAGCCGAGTTTCAAACCTGCAACCTTCGTGCTGCGAGGCAACAGTGCTAACCACTGCGCCACCATGCAGCCCATATTTGCAATATATTGTGCAGCCCTATTGTAGACCCTGTTTTATTGAGCTGTTTTTTTTGTGTTGTTTTTATTATATTAGAGCTGCATTTCACTGGATTCTAACAATGTGCATTAGAGGTTAAATACGTTTTATTCCAGCTAGCTAAACTGCATCATAGTTCTGCTGCAGCAAACTGGGGTTTCTGGTTCACACCCATTAGTTTTGCAACAAGCATTTACACAGATTTGTAAAAAAAACAAACAAAAAAAACCCTGAACAATAAATTAGCTGTTGGCCAACTTTAACCTACAGGGACATTTGGACAAAAGAGCTGGTTTAACACCACATGGCAGATTTATTAAGGGGGCTTTGTGCTTTTGCAGGACCTGCTTGTTCATCCTTCAGAGAATTTAGATCTGACTGGATGTTTATCATTTCATCATGTAGACTGAGTGTGTGTGTGTGTTGTGAGCATGCATACACAATGAGGTCACTTTTAAGCAGCTGCAGCATGACTTTCTTCTCTCTTTAAGAGAAGTTGTGTTCAACTCTCTGTAGGAGTCTCAGAAGAACAGAGATCACCACTGATTCATGCAGGACTGTAACAGGATTCAGGTCAGAAATGGAAAATCTAAACTCATTCAGATGGAAGTAATTCTGTCAAATCCTTTTAAAAAATCCAACTCACACACAAATTATATCACCCTGACAAATACACACATCTTTACATAAATAAACAGTAAGATGGGACTCTCCCATAGGGGCGCTATGGAAAACAATCTTTCATTTTAAGTAAAACAAAGCCTGGCCAAAACGAATTAGCTGTCTTAGGTGTTTACTCAACCCGGCCGTGCCGATGTGAGACAAAGAACACTTGTCAGCAATTAAGCTGCAGCTACTGCACAAGACCGCGTCAGGTTCCAGAGAAAAAAGATCTGACTTGTGTCAACAAACACACCCTGACCAAAGATGGTGTGTATCTATGGTGGTAACGATGTGTGAGACGTCCTTCCACTTCAAACATGCCTGCTTCCATGCAGGAAAACGATCAAAACCCAAAACACAATGGTGCTTTTTATTTATCAGATTTATTCAAATATGTATTCGCTGAAGTCACAAAGTGAAAAGGTCTGTATTCATGCATGTTTATCCATAAGCGGTTCATTTCCCCACTCAGTCTTAGGGTGATTATGTTATTTTCATGATCTGACCAAAATGTCTACTTCAATCATTTCTCAAGTTGGCTTTAGTTTAAAATTCTGCAGGTGACCAGCATTTCTTAGATCTTTCATTATGTAGCCTAAAGAACTCCAGCTGACGGCATTACTGGGTGCTGCTCTAAGCTGCAGCTGTCCTAACATTTGGTGTTGAAATCAGAAGAAATATAAAACTTTCACTGACAACATCTACAGTTTTGAAGGTGTTTGGGAGTTTAAAACACTGGTACCTTTAGAGTAAAGGTTGTGACATTCCAGCTGGTCAAGAGAGATGAAGCTGTTAAAATGATAGAAAAGGAAACCGTTCTGAGTCAGGCTTCGGTTCAAACTGCTTATCCTGTCTGTCAAAGACGGTACCCGAGCAATAAATCCTACAAGTAAAAGCCTCACCAAGCATCAAAGCATTTTGCAGACAAAATCTTCACCCATTTCCTGTTTGTACTTATTAAGAGAACATGACAGATGATGTCATTCTGACAGCTGTGTATCTCGAGTTTGCTGAACCAGTGTGATATCCCAATAATCCTAAAATCAACATAACTGGCCCCTCCCACACACACACACACACACACATGCTCACACACACACATGCTCACACACACACATGCTCACACACACACATGCTCACACACACACACACACACACACACACACACACACACACACATACACACACACACACACACACACACACACACACACACACATACACACACACACACACACACACACACACACACACACACACACACACACACACACACACACACACACACACACACACACACACACGTGCATGCACACAGACGCATGCACGCACACTCAGTGTGTGTTTGAGTGTTAAATGATGGCTCGAGCTGTGTGACCTCAGTTTCACACGCACAAGGACTTTGTGCAAAGATCTAAAAACCTTAACCGCAAATTCAAGAGCTGCTTTGTTCTTTTCAACTAGTTGGAGAGACAGAACTCTTGTTCTATCTTACCTGACACAAGTTCATGCAGGCTGTAACGGTAGCGGAGATGATCATGGCCCTCGAACCCCTGTGGCCCCTGGCACAGGGCACGACACTCCACATCAGCTTTATAGTATTCCACCAGAGCGTCCTCAAACAGAGCAGCAGCTCCTTCGTAGTCTCCTCTGTCGTAAAACTTCACTGCTTTTGTGAAGGTGAACTGCAGGATGGAGAGAGGAATCACAGCGTAGAAACGTAAAAAGCCTCTAGTCACCTCTCGCATTTTTAGAATTGAATCACAGAATCTAATTTTCTTCTCAAGTGGAGGTCCTTCCTTTGATTTTCTATTTAATTTAGCTTTTTATGGAGACAGAAACTGGCATTGGCAACTGTTATTTAGTTTGATCTTATTTTTATTTTATGTTTCTTATTTTATGTTAGAAACATTTGTCGTGATTTATTCTTTCTCTTCTAGTAAACACACGAGGCAATGAGACAGATGTTATAACATAACTTTAAATTGACCAGATTATTAGATTTACAAGCCCTCTAGAGAACACAGCAGCAGCATTGGCCTAAACATGAAGGTGAGAACCAAGAATCACTTTCATTCACGGAAAAAATAAAAAACATTTGAGTAAAGTGGTTTTTGTTGACCTCTGAGAAACATATCAAACAGATTTGATGCATAACCTGTTGATGCAAAATCAAAACAATAACGCCTTCGGATGTGAGCGTGCGTCTGCAGAAAGATAGAGAGAAAAAAGCAGGAGCTGCAGACAAAGCAGCCAAAACTCTCTGGCATTCAGGGTTTCACCACAACAAGTCATAAAAGTCCTAAATGAGTTTCCAGTCATTAAACTGTGAGGATCATTAACACAAAAGCTCGTTCACAGAGAAACAGCAGCTGCACTTCCCTCCTTATGGAAAGAGCATAAGTAGAAAAATCAGACCTTCTGGAAACAATTGATAAAAAATATGGGGGGGGAGGGGGGGGGGGGATCAAAGATGCAGAAGAAAGTTTCCCATCTCACCTGATGAGGACGAGCTTCTCGGTCCACAAAGTGATTCTCCTCAACGCCCTGCAGGTCTTTGTACTGCTCCAGGTCTTGGCCCATTTCCACATGCTCAGGATTGGCCTGGAAGTAGGTGTGAGCCGCCGCTGCCGCCTTCTCCGGCTGCTGCAGCTAGAAACAGAAACAAAAAGTGATGTAAATAAGACATCAATGCAGTAATAACAATAATAATAATAAAGACACTGTTGGCATTTTAGTTCACACAAAACACAATAAAATCATTCAGATATTTAAATATCTTCATAGTACTGGAACAAAAAAACTAACTTTTGGAATTTTAACAGGAACAGAAGAGTAGGTTGATGTGCAAAAACGTGTCAAAATAAAAGAATCAAATTTATGTGTTTAAACAGAGGATCAGCCGGCGTTTCTTTGAAGTTTTTCTACTTGACAAAAAGATCTTGGATGTCAACTTCAGGCCATTAATCTGAATGTCGTGTCATCAGAACGGAGAAAAACGGAGCAGATTTAGGAGGACGTGCTGTTCTCGTCCACATCCTGTTATGAAAAGAGCGGCCATCTTTAAGGCTAATGTAATAAATCTGCTTTTGGCTCTCGGAGCATATGAACTTAGTGGATGCTGGACGTGAGATGATGAAATGTTCACCACCCGTCTGTTGGATGAGGAATGCGGCGAACAAAAACACACAACCACAAATACTATTTACAGTGTGAAGTGATGGAGATGAAGTAGCAGCAGAAGGAGCTTTTCCTGTTTGTTTTGGAGGAAGTTAAACCGTTCTGTTGATTTCTCTTCATATTATAATTGTATCTGAAGATCAGAATAATGTGGAAACCTGCCGTCTGTTTGGGGCTGTTTCACAGCTCCCTGATGCACACATCTACAGCAGCGTCTCACACAGACATAAAAATAATTTGACAGGAAGTGAATCCTTAAAATCAATAATGACATGATTCAGAATTAAATTTATTCACATAAAAATTCATTTTCTGACCTTCCTTGTTAGCATCTTGAAGTAAAATAACTTCCACCAGAAATGTGCAATATTCTGCAAGTTTCTAATAATGTTAATATTGTAATTACCTTTACACCCTCATATAAGGTGGGTGAGTATACCACAAGGAAAATGTGATTTTTATGATTAAGCAAACAATAAGTATAGACACCTCAATATTATATATGTGACTGCAGCTTGCAGCATTTATCAGTGCAAAGTAGTTATGAGATCTACTGGGCTTTATTTATTGCTACAACTGTGCACAGTGCAATGCCACTTAAGACATTAATATGCAAACTAAAAAAATATTAAATGGTTGCGTTTCTCTTAAAATAAAAAGGTTATTTTCCCTCAAAAGTAAAGAATACGGTTATCAGATAATATCTGGCTCCCCTCCGTTCAGGTTCCACTCAAGTCTCAGCGTGTAAAAGAGGCCACATTAATCACACGCAGACTCCCGCTCACCAAACGCCTTCAGATTCACGTAAAAAAGTTTAGCTTTTCAAATTTACATGTAAAATAGCACAAAGTTGTGCTCCCTTTTGTTTGAGTTTCCTCCTGGTGCATCTGTATGTTATTCTGACACTCAGAACACTGGTAATAACGAATTAAATCAAGTCAGTTACGGGACTGAATTAAGTCATATGCAGGAGGATGTGAGCAGGTGGCAACAGGAGCAGGATTTTGAAATTACTGAATGATTTTTAAAGCATGAGCGACCACACACATCATGATATAAAGTCATGGATGAATCAGTTTTGTCCTACAGTGTGTGGTGTGAAGCAACTCTTCAAATACTACACAAACTGCTTTCACTCATCGCCATTGCTCCAAAAAACTGTGACTTTTAAGTAAATGAACATGGCGGAAAAGGATTGTGCTGCACGCTTCCATCTCCTCTCTTTCTTACCGGCTACATGTCCCATTCAACAGGCAGCATGTTCATTTGTCCCTGAAAATCCAAAGACAATCCAACATGTTGGAAAGCTCGAATTTATGATCGGAGCGGCCCCGACATGCTTCTGAGTGGTCCAGATTGTTTGCAACACCCCACACATGGTAGGATTATCTGATCGGATTATCTTTAGAGCCATTATGATAATCATGCACAACTTTAAGATGGTCAGAAAGGGAGAATTGGATCAAAAACCTGCCGGACTATCCTGCTGTGAGAACCAGGTTTAACACAAGGACAGATTTTTTTCTGTTATGTCTTCTTCAGGGACATTTTGTCAGAGATTGTTCAAACTTTTCGACTTGCATACAGATTCAAGTCTGGGCCTCTCGACTAAGGCAACTGCCCCCGCGACCCAACTCCGGATAAGCCAATGAAAATGGATGGATGGATGGATGGATGGATGGATGGATACGGATTCAAACCAGAAGCAGATTTCCACTCACTTAAAGTGACAGTGTGTATTTTTCCTGGTTATAGGGGGCAGTAGAAACCTAAATCGTTGCAAGCAAACAATGTTGTTGTGTTGGAGTAAGACCTTACTAAAAGATGCCCATTAGGGTCAAAAAGCCCTGGGTAGTGCAAACTTTAGCAAAATTTAAGTTTTCAATTAAATTCAGTTTATTTATATAGCGCCAAATCACAACAAGAGTCATCTCAAGGGCCTTCACATTGTAAACATTCCAATACAGGTCAGTTCATTAAGCCAATCAGTAGAAAGTTTCCAGTATAAGGAACCCAGCCAATTGCATCAAGCCACTGACAGGTGCCAGTGTCTTTACAGCAATCCTCATTCTAAGCAAGCATGCAGCAACAGTGGAGAGGAAAATCTCCAGAGGATCCTAGCTCAGTATAAGCAGCCATCCGCCACAACTCACTGGGGATTGAGAAGACAGAGCAGACACACACACACCAACACCAACCCACACAAACACACACATCCACACACACAACATAATTACCAAGTAGTGTTTCTATGGTAACATTGTGAATTCTTAGTAAATATTCTATTTGTTAATTATTTACTTATATTTATTGTATTTATCCTAGTGAATCTATAATTAAACGGGTAAACTAGTAGTAGCACATTCCATGTCAAAGAAAGTCAAATGTTATTATCAGGAGAGGGAGAATGTTTAAGTGGTTAGCAGCAGTGTTCAAGCAGATGGGCCCCTCCATGAGGCTAAAATAACAAGCACATCAGACTCCCTTTCATCACTGGCAACAAATGAAGAGGTAAATGTGTGAAACAACAACATTTGAGAATGGCGAAAGTTTTGTAACCGTTTATTACAAATCAGTAAATGCATTTTGTCCTCATGGGAAACTATTGTGAATATACTGTTTAAACGAGTGAACTACTCCTTTAATCAAGTTATGGCAACTGGTTTCACTAAACCTCTAAAGAGTAATATACATTAATAAGTGCGTCGATGAAACCAGCTGACATAACTTGGGCTAAGTAAATTCAACATTTCATTTCTTAGAGTGTACTAAACAAGGCTAGACATTCTCATTCTCCTTTTAACTTGTTTATTTTACCAACAATCGAGGTTTGGGTTTTCAACAGATTACGGAAAACTGATTAATAGCTCTGATGAAAACAAAAAAATCAACAATACTGCATGTGCAATTGCATAATGCAGAAGAGAAAGCCCAGGAGGACATGTCTGATTAACTCTGGAAGGGGAAGTGGAAACGAGCACTTTTCTTTTCAGATCACCTGGCAGGAGCCACGGACACACTCAACAGGGAAAGCCAACAGGGAGGCAAGAGATGAAACAAGTAAGACCACGATTCAGTTTGTTGGATCTATTTTGTTTTTTTATTCTAAATGTTTCAGAGCAGGAGATTCCTGAAGGAAGAAGACCGATGAGCCAGGCTTTGCTTGTCAGGTAAAATTTTTTCTCAAATGGTTGAAAAGACTCCAGTCAAAATAACAAATCTGGGAATGATGCCTCACCTCCACAAAGGAACAATCAACCCTGCAGATGTGAAAAACACACTCCCTCTACACAATGCATGTAGCCACTTCTAGTCTGACTACATAACTCAGTCATGTGCTTTGGGGATTTAAATTAACTTGTTTAAACTGGCAGATAAGTTCTGGTTAAAAAAGGAATAAATATTAATAGTTTTTTTATTTTTTCCCAAAATACAACAATCTGATCATCTAAAACCAGATTAGGTTGAATCTTTCTTAAAATTTGCCTCTTTTGAATTGAATGAATTAATTATAAAAATAAACAAAGATGGCCCACACTCAGCACTGAGTTCACACATACACCTTAAAGAACTGCACTTTAAGTAGATGGATAGATAAATCATGAGGGATTAACCAGATTAAGCTGTGAAAATGTAAGGGCCAAAGCACAAGGACTATAAATTAGGAACAGATGCTTGAGTATCACGCAGAGCTCACAGAGAGGCACCCTCAGGATAACAGAGCACAAATCAATCAGAGGTTGAAGGTGAGGCTGCTTTTACACTGAATATTGTAATGGAAACCAGTACAAGCTGCAAACGTCAATGTAAATGTAAATCAAAATGACAGAGGAGAACATGGAATACACCTCAAACTTACACGCATCTGCATTTCTGCTGGAACATTTCAGCATTTTCATGAAATTCAGGTCCAAATTGAATCATTTTTATTGAGGATTTTCATGTGCACCAATTACATAAATAAAAAGTGCTTCTAGTGCACTCATACTTTATCTGTTTAAAAAATCCTTGAAAATAGCTGTTGGCAATATTTACAATATTGTACCTGTGTGCCATGCTAGCTTTAACTTTAATATACAAGAGTTTACATCACAGTGATATCTTAAATGCTGCATGGTAGCATTGTTATACACAGGTTCAAATCCCAGCTAGGCCTTTCTGCACAGAGACTACATGCTCTTCAATTCAGTTCAATTCGATTCGATTTATTTATATAGCGCCAAATCACAACAAGAGTCATCTCAAGGAACTTCACAAAATAAACATTCCCAATACAGTTGGGGCAGCAGTAGCTCAGGTGGTAGAGCGGGTTGCCTCATGATCGGAGGGTCATGGGTTCGATTCCAGCTCCTGCCAGGGGCATCCTGCTGTCGTGTCCTTGGGCAAGACACTTCACCCAACTTGCCTGTGTTAGTGGTGGTCAGAGGGGCCGACGGCGCCAAATGGCAGCCTCGCCTCTGTCAGACCGCCCC